AACCTTTTCAGTATGTAAATTTTCAAACATACACGAAGCAGACAGACGATGCAACACACTGCTTTACCTCAACAAGTTATCAGTAGTTTGTTAAAGCAACAGGTGGTCAGGCCTCACCCCTGGAGATTCTGGTTCAGTTGGTCTCAGACGTGGTGTGTGTGTTGGTTCTCCATTAGGGTCCCAAGGGACACTGAGGAGGCTGATCAGAAAACCCACTTTGAGTCTGTCTAGGAGGCTCTCAGAATCTGGCTCCACTCCCTCTCAGGACTTAGGTCAAACCATTTCTTACTCTTTGTGATCTGGTAATGTCAATTCCTTCAACTTAATGAAGCTTTGTTGTTCTAAGGGCTTCTACTTTTCTGTTCCTTCAGTCTGTAACACTTTTCCCCACATGCTCATCTCTCTAATCATTCTTTATTTCTCACTTTGAACACCACTTTTCAGGTAATCCGTCCTTAGCCTACTCATAAGGTTTTGTTTCTCTCTCTCCCTACTCCCTACTGCCTCTCTTACTAGACTCTAAACTCTATGAAGGTGGAGGCTTCGTTTTATTTGCCCTTTAAGGTTAGTGCTTACAATAGCACATAGCATTTAAATAGGCACTTAATTTATACGAGTGAATAAAAGTATTTAGATTTTTCAAAAATGTAGAAGGAAAGTTCCTAAATAATGTAGCGGGAAATTATCATGTATTGTTTAAACTATTCCTTTGTTTATACCATTTTGTTTTCTTTGTGTTTCCTAGGCATGCTACATGTAGAAAACATGCACACGTAGCAACAACAGAGTTAACAACCCCGGCGGACACTCATATCTATGAAAGGTGAATTTGTGCTTCTTCAGAAGGTTGTGTTCAAGCAAATGGTTGATGACCCAGCTGTACATTCCTGGAAAAGCATCTGGCATCAGAGCACAAAAAGGGATCATGGCCATTTGCTGTGAATTCCTGCAGACTCTTTCATCTGTGAGTAAAGCATGCTTATATTTCATTTTTTTAAAAGATAACTCCTCCAATGAAGCTGTATCCATGATCAATAAGCTTACAAAAGTGCAATCTTCAGTTACATAAGATTCCACCCACCACAGATGAAGTAACTTCTACGTAGAATACCAAAATATGAATAAAAATGATTTTGTTCCAGTTTGCTAAACTAGGGTTTTGAGCAGATAAGTGAAATGAGTACATAGCTTCCCATTCTATACTCATTGTATTCTCTTGCTAAAATGGCAAAAAAAAAAAAAAAAGGATGCTACCCTTATTGATTGTGTTGTTCTTCTTAAGCAAATCAAAAGATATTAATATTGTATTGCTTCAGTGCATTTTAAAAATGAATCCCACTGGATCAAAACCACTACTCTTGGGTCCTGGGAGATGTCACAGGAGATTCAGTGGTGAGCAAGCAGCGAGTGCTCCAATCTGCCGTTGCCTCATCCCTTTTGAATCCCAAGAGCACCATTTTTATCTGAAAACCGTGTCTATGTCATATTTATTGAGGTAACAGATTATGTTACCCTTGGTGGAGGGAGGAGTTACTGCCAAAAGAAGTTTGGAAACACAACTCCACAAAACTGTTCTGCCGCCAAATCTGGAAGACGGTTTCCAGTGTTTACAGTGTTTGTGGTTCTTTTGTAATTTCAGAGGTATTGTTTTGACTTTTTCCCTGTATCCTGATACTCCCGGATGCTCCCCATTGTTCCACCCTCTCATTTTGACCTTTGATCCTGCATTTCTGCCTGCTTGCCCGTTGGAAATGATCCTTCATTCTCCTCATAGTCCCATCAATCTCCCCCCATAAATCAGCTACTGTGCTTTGCTTTCAAGGTTCTTCAAAGTCATCTGTCTCTACTCTGCTTTCCATTTAAATCAGCCTCCTCCACACTGTGTAAAAACATCATGACAATTCCAGCATCTATGCCCTTATCTAAACATGCTAAATTGATCTACATGGAAAGAACTCATTCCTTCGCCTACCTCTTTAATCTTATCTTGAATCTTTCCTCACCTGTTATCCCACGTTCTTCACATAGCCAAGTACTTGTGGTTTCCCGAAAATATTTGCCTCTCAGTCTTGGCACTTGTTTTCTCCTTCCACTTTCACTCATCTATCTTCTCGTTGTTCTTTTTAACAATTCCTTTATCTCTGACTCCAGCCAGAGTGACTCACATCTTCCCTTGAATTATTGTTGCATTCTCTGTCTTTTTGCCCATAGCCCTTGCTGTGTAGTTTATGTGCCTGTCTGCCTTCTGTACTATACTGTGAGCTACCCTCTCCAAACACTGTAGCTGGACCTCCAATCATTCTCATGTCTTTTACATTCATAATTGATCACTTTAATAACGGAATATGTATTTGTTGCATGAGTGAGCAAATTTTATTCTTCCAAGGTCAACTAAAATCTTACCCACCTCTGCAGCCCATTTTGACTTTCCTAGTCTGCCATCCCTCTTCTGAAGCCTGATATTATTCATGGTTTTTGCTATAAAAACTAGGACAATTTCTCTTTTGGACTGCAAGTTCCCTGAGAGCAAGGGCATATTGTCTCTGTCACGGCAGTAGCAATAACACCAAGCACATAGTGTAAACTAAATAAATAAATACTTGCTTTCTGATTAGAGTTACATAAATAACATGCTTAGAAAAATAATAACAACTAATTCATTCTCTTGGAAAATTCTAATTCTTTAAAATACAGCTATAACCATGAAATTAAATATGAATATATATAAAATATTGGGAAACAGGCATGAATTCCATCAATAAAATAATTCTTCCCAGGTAAAATGGATGTTGCTATATGACATTGTGCTTTCTGACTTTTTAGTTGGCAGACTTACAAATTCCTACTTTCAAATTTTTTTTGTTGAAGGGGGTGAGTACTTTGTTCCTCGTTGATTTTTCTCAGTGGTGTGTTGAACTTGTTCTTGTATCTGGGATTGTTATGGTTGAGAAATGAGAAAGATGAGGCCTGAATGATGTGGTTTATTTATTTATTTGTTTATTTTGGAATAAATCTATGTCTAGAAACGAGTGGACAGCACAAATATGAACCTAAGTTGTATGTATGTTGTAACTTGTGTGCTTACAAGCTTAGGTAGACTGACCGGATGCCTAGCATGGTGCTGTAATGCCATCCTGCTAGTGTTACCGACCAAAGTCCCTGGGAGCATCATCAGGCACGTTTAGAGGAGAAGGACAGACCTGTATTGTATTCCTTAGTTCCAATCTTTTGTTAGGTCAGTGGTCTCATTCTTTTGTTAAACCTAGGCTGAGTTACATGATTTCCTGTGTTTTTATTCACTAATTCACCTGACATTTCTGAATGACTAGGGTCCAGATACTGTGTTTGATCCTCTAGATACGAAGAACTGCAGCCCACAAAGAGGTCAATTGCATAACCTGATAGTAAAATGCATATACTGTCATAAAAATATTTGACACTGCTTTATTTTCCTTTAGAAAGTAAAATTCAGTCTATGGATATAGCTTTGGACCCAGTCCTCTGAATCTGCATGTATGCAAAAGCAGAAATACCCTTATTAACATTTAATATTGTCCTATAATATGAGCAAGACATAAGGAAAAAAGATGCAACCCCATTTATATACAGTGAATAAACACTAAATAGTAATGGAGTAATATTTTAGTAGAAATTAGATGGTTAGGGAGCCAAGGTAACTTCTACAGGACCAGGAATTCATTACAAGAGTAATGTATCTGTGTCATTGTCCATGCCCACGATAATGGACATATGACTGTGTATGAAAAACTATACCTTAGTAATGATATAGGGGAACTCGGGTGGAGGGGGGAACCGGGGAAGGGATAAGGAAAATCCCAGGGCCTATGGAATTGTATCATAAAATGATGATGATGATGATGATAAATGATTAAAAAAAAAAGAGTAATGTATCTCACAAGGAGCACCCAGAAGACCAAAACTGGTTGCAGGTCTTATGGGACATGCAAATAATAAATGTGGAAGAACTCCTTCAAAACCAAGCAAGCAAACCAACCAACCTGGGTAGCACCTAAGAAGCAAGGAATCCTAAACCTTAGACTGTAATTGCCTCACAGAAAAAATGACTAGGCCACGCACATAGAAGATAGACATCCTTACTACTCACCAATTCTATCACGGAAATACTTGGGCATTTAGAAAATAGCATCCAGTAAGCAGACATCAAAAGATTATCATGATTTTAATACATGTAAAATAAGCCTGTATGGACCTTAGCCACAATCCACTGTATGTTTATTTTACCAGTCTGTATCCTAATATTTGGCTTTCATTAAATTTTTAAAAATACTACAGGTATCCATTGAGTAGAGATCTTATACTTTTCTTTTGCAAAGCTACAGACTGTGCCGCACAACGAACTCTAGCCATTAGCCACTTGTGGCTATTCATAGGGCACTTGAAATGTGGCTAGTGTAACTGAAGAATTGAATTTGGATTGTATTTGTTTTAATTCCTTTAAATTAAAATCATACCCAATTCAGTTATTGAAAAACTTCCAAATATCTCAGTCTACTTTTTCAACTATAAATTTTATGAATTGCAAATGAAGAGTGAGTTTTTCCTAGAAAAAAATTAGCAACAAATTAAGATGTGTTCTAAAGTATGTAATTTACATTGGATTTTGTAAACCTGATATGATGACTAGGAAGTAAAATATCTTCTTAATAAATCTTACATTGATTGTATTTTGCAATGATAATATTTTGTAATATGTTGGGGAAATTAGCAGTGTTATTAACTTTAACTTCACATATTCATTTTGCTTTTTAAAGACCTGGCTACTAGTAAATTTAAATTGCATTTTGGATATGATCTTTATCAGAGCTATCTTAGATGTTGACTTTTTTATATTTATCATATATACATAACTTTTATATGTAGTATACAATGTTTAAAGCCATATATTTAAAAGAAACTACTTAGGAATCCCATGGCTGACACAAAGCAATCAGTGAACATTAAGAAGGAGCCATTTTTACCTGACTTGAGGTGGTGGAATTCCTACCACTATGCAATCCAACTGTACTCGTGTTCCTTCTGGAACTTCTCTGCTCCGTAGCTTTTGAGTGAACCGGGGAGGTTGCCCCAGCGGTTCTTCATAGTACAAAGAGGAAGGGGAAGAACCTGGCGTAGTGTCCCCACCGGCCGCCTCACTGGCAGCCTGCTCAGCTTCTCGCCTCTTGGTTTCCTGCCGCTCAAGGGCGTGGTTGACTTCGTTATCCCTGGTATCCGAAGGGATCGGGATGGGAACAGAAGATCTTTCTCGTCTTTCTGACAGATCTGAGAAACTAGAGCTGTTTTCCTGCATCGTTTTGTTTTGAGATTCCAACTTGCTCTTGTGGTTTTTGCAGGCACGGGGTCTGATCCTTTTGGAGCTGTGGGCTTTGAAAAGAGAGGATAGCTCTTCAATGAAATCGGCTGCTTTATTTAAGAATACCTTTTTAGACTGGGCTTCAGAACTGTACTGGGACCTTTTAGCCTCCTGGGGGCTCTCCTTAGAACTGGTAGGACTTCGAGGGTTATCCTGGCAGAAGTTAGGCTCAAAATTTGATTTAGGTGAGGGTTTCAGCTGGTCCGAAGAAAGATGTTTTCTAGATTGAGCTTCATCTGCTTGCTCCAAAGGGTCATGATTGATGGCCAGTCTTGCCAAGTTCACACTTTCATCTAATTCTTCTTGGCTCAGAAAGGCTGAAAGATCTGGAAGCTCATCCTGGCCTCCGCCCCCTTCAGCAGCCCCAGAAGGACTTGCAAAATGGAAAGGGTTGGAGGAAGGCTCTGCTCGGCTTCTCTCGTTGTTTCCCCGATGTCTGGTTTCAGCTAAATAGCTCTCTCTTAGAAGCTGAGATATGGAAGTAGAAGCTTCTGTGCTGTCGTCCTGCATGCTATCAACAAAACAACGAGAAAAATCACACTCATTTCTAGGGAAAAATGAACACACGTTTCTTAAATAATTTTAAAAATAGTCTGTTTAACTCAGTAATTATTTTTTAAGAGTTATGTGCTTATTTAGGGGTCGAGAGAACAGAGATAGACAGACAGACAGAACTTCCATTCCCTGGTTCACTCCTCAGATGGCCCCCATGGGCATCTTTACGGCTTCTTAACCACTAGTCTGAATACCCACGTCTAATGTTTAATGCAGTGCTTATGACTAACACCGTGGTGTTGGATAGAACTGATTCAAATCCTACTTGGGACACTTGCTAGCTGTATAAACCCAAGAAACCTTGACCTCTGACAGCTTCAGTTTACTCACCTATAAAAGAGAGATAATAACAGTAGCTGTCTCCCACAGGTTAAAGTGATGGTTACATGCACTTGGTACTTAGGGAGCATTCTGTAAGTGATAACTAGTATCCCCATAAAACAACTATGGCCAAACAACACAGTCTCCATTTTCTAGACAAGAAGTGGAGGTAGAAAATAGTGAGGTGTCTTGATCCAAGAAAAAACTTTGAAGAGACACCAAACTCTTTATTTGTAATTCATTCAAGGTATTTTAAATACTATTGAGATACTCCTAGTCTGGGCTGACTTCAAGCCTTTTGTAGACAGTGTGCAGGGTTGCTCCCTGTCCCTGCTCCCTCAACCGTGTTATCTGCATCTAGTTCTGCAAAGTCCTCAGTTCCAAACTAGGATATCATTGCCCTGGATCTCCTCTCTTTCTTAGGTTGGGTACCTCTCCATAGTGCTCCCAAAGCTTGCTTTTCACATTTTCTTTCATATCTCTGCTTCCTTTTTGCCTCTCTAAATTTGTCTTGTTCACCATCATCTCTGTATACATACAGAGCATAGACGCTAATCAGCGTATATTTGTTGAATTCTTTTCCTTACTAGAATTCCCTGCCGAATCTATTGTTTATTTTTATTAATTTTTAAAATTTCACAGTAAAGTAGGACAAAGAAAACTTACAGAGGCAAAGGAAGAAAAAGGCTATACTGGTAAAGGCAGTCATCATTTTAAGATGACTTTCAAATAAAATTTTGTTTTGTTTCCAATGCAGAAGTAGGAAAGAATATCTGATTATAATCAGAAAACTTGGATTTGAACCTCAGCTCTTATACTAAAGCACTCTGTTGTCTTGAAAAAGGAACTTAGTTGATTTGGATAAGAATTATCCTCATCTATCAAATAATGATTTTTAATTCTGAGATTAAATTACACATATATAATTTTAATAAATATTAAAGAATTATGAAAATCAATTACTTTCAAATATTATTTTAAATACTTTATTCTAATAAATACTAATTTAAAAGCCATCTCTTAAAAGTTTCAAATATTTTATTCTCTCTCTCTTTTTTTCTGTATTTGGAGTGAGGGAGAGATAAAAGGAGAAGCTCCACTCAGCCTCTCACTCATCCCAGGGTCCCTGACATGGGACATGCTCTGAGGGCACTGTTCAAGTGGTTTTAATAGTTCAACAGCTCTGAATTGCTGCCAGTCTTGCCATTTTGAGCATGATGAATCTCTCCAGAATCCACTGGCTGATATAGTCCACCAAAAGATTTTATACTCTAAAATATCTCAAGCGTCATTATGGATAACTTGGTTTTTCTTTAATTCATTCACCCAAAAAATATTTATTGGGCATCTATTATGTACTAGGAACTCTGGGTTCAGAAAAAAAAAGTCTGTCTTCATGAAGCTGACATTCTAGTGGAGGAAGATATCATTATACAAAATAAATAAGTAAGGCAAAGGAACAGAAAGATCAAACAGAAAGAGCAGTGTGTTACTTTTGTGAGGAGGGTTAAGCAAAGTGCCTAACGTGGTGAAGTTAACCACAATGGGAGAGAGGGCTGTGGGGAAGATGGATATTGCAGACAGACGTGTCAGGGTGTGAAGAGATCAGTGTATAGTGCATTTGAGTTGAGCCCTGTGTACCAGGAAGCAAGTGAAAAAGAAGGATGGAAGGAAATTAGGTCAGAAAAGTATCAGGTCAGACTAAGTAAGGCCTCAAGAACATGCAAAGAACTTCAAGTTGTATTAAACATGTTAATGGAAGACCACTCTGTGGTTTTGAGAAGCAGGTGGCATGATTTTGAAAAAGTTCAATCGTGGCTGCTATGCAAAGAACCAAGTTGAAGGGGGTAAATTTGGCAGTGAGCAGATCATTTTGGGGGCTCTTACAATTCGCTAAGCAGGAGATTACAGCATGCTGCCTTGGACCCAGGAATGGTAACAGTGGGGGGACTGAGAAATGGTCAGATTTGAGACACTTTTTGAAAGCAAAGCTAATATGATTTGCTGTGAATTGAAAGTGGGATATAAGAGAAAAGACAAAGTCAAGTGATCCCAACATTGATGGCCCACTGAATGGGTGCTTGGTAGACTCATTTACAGGGAAGAGATGAGACTGCATTTGGCCTGGTGGTTAAGTCATCTCTTGGGTTGCCCACATTCCATACCACAGTACCTGGGCTTGAGTCCCTGTTTTACTCTAGTCCAGGTGGCAGCAGGTGATGTTCAAGTACCTGAGTCCCTGACACTCATTTCGGAGACCCAAATTGGGGTCCTAGCTCCTGGCCTTAGCCTGGTTTGAACTGGTCTTTGGGGAAGAAACCGATAGATGAGAGATTTCTCTTTTTCTGTCTCTCATTTAGCCTCTCAAATAAAAATAAATGAATCTTACAAAAACAAAGCCAGTAGATTTTAAAAGTTCTCACCACAAAAACAAAAAGCAAAAATCCAGCCTCATGAGGGTGATGGATATGTTCATTAGCTTGACTTAATCATTATACATTGTAAACACATACCAAACCATTAAGTCATACATCATAAATGCATATAATTTTTGTCAACTAGGCCTTAATAAAGTTGAAAGAAAACCCATCTTTTATGCACATGTCTTTAAACATTGTTCCACATATGGGAAGCACATCCATTAAAAAAAACACAGAATCCAAATCTGGTTTTTAGGTCGACACAAAAATAGCCTTTACTATTTAATAATTATTTGTGAAGACAATCAGAATGGGAAGAGATAAGAATATTCAAGTATCTCACCTTAAACTGGGGGCAGTTGGAACTGCTCCACTCACTTCAAAGGTTTGTTGATGAAAGCACTTTAAAAATGTATAATACTATGCAAATGTAAGATGACACTTTTCTGCTGATAATTACTATGTTTAGTTTGCTCGTTAGTGGAATCATAAAAATGGTAGACATTGCTCCTTCTCTTTAACATCCGTGTTGATGTGCTTGCTTTGCTTTGTTTTGTCTTATGTCACCGAAAAGAAACAGCTAAATATTTTCTTTAGAAGAGGCTCTTGCTGGGCAAAGAACCAAATCCCAGTAGGTAGGAACCAGTTCTGGACAGTTGGGTATGGATCACCTTTTCAGGTGCAAATGGGATACACTGTTGCAAAATCCACCTGCTTACTGTTACAGGCACCATTTCCATCTCAGTTGTATTTCTAGTCTATTTTGGTGGGAATGCATTAACAATTTAACAAAGTAGTGCACCCTGTGTTACCACAGTAAGAATTTGAGCTATACGGAAGTGCTATGTCAATAATAATATGAAAATAGTGTCAGATCCTCTCTCTGAAAGACCTTTGCATTTGAAAGAGGAAAGACTACAGGCAGAAATACACAGATAGATATAAATTTGAAGAGTGTGTCACAACAATAGGCAAAGCTGAGATGACACAGGAAAATGAGTGGGATTCTGTTTAATGAAAGAGATTCCTTAGAGAGTTGAAGAAAGGAAAGACTTTCAGAAAATAGGCCAAAGTTTAGATGCCATTCTCTTATTGTTGTTTCAAACAAATTGATAAAGCTGAAAAGTTGGAAAAAAGTAAAGATTTCATTCAAGTGGGAGAAAGACATTGTCTACCATAAAACATACTGTGCATGTTTTTTTTTTTTACTTTATTTTTATTACAAAGTCAGATACATAGAGAGGAGGAGAGAGAGAGAGAGGAAGATCTTCCATCCGATGATTCGCTCCCCAAGTGGCCTTAACAGTTGGAGCTGAGTGATCTGAAGCCAGGATCCCAGAGCCTCTTCTGGTTCTCCCACGTGTGTGCAGGGTCCCACGGCTTTGGGCCATCCTTGACTGCTTTTCTAGGCCACAAGCAGGGAACTGGATGGGAAGAGGGGCTGCTGGAATTAGAACTGGCACCCGTACGGGATCCCTGTGCGTGCAAGGCGAGGACTTTAGCCACTAGGCTACCATGCCGGGCCCAGATCTATATTTCTTTAGAGTTTTTATTATAGGAGAAAAACTGTGCCATGTTTTTATACACAAAGGAGGATAAACATGTCAGGCAACACTAGTGTGAAGGATATTGAAGTTGAAGCCCAAAGTTACTATTTAACTTGAAAGTCAACAAAGAGAGTATAAAAGTAAGTCCTGCAGCCCACTGAAAGGCTGAAGGAAAGCAAGCAAGGAAACTTGAGCAATCTAGGACCAAAAAAGGGGTTTGGTGGTAGTTGCAGAAGTGATAGGTGTGGGGTGGGGATTTTATGTTGCTCTCACGACCTCACCACTGGCCAAGAGCTGAGCTCTTACATAAGGAATTCCAAATGAGAAACCTATGTCGATCTGCAATAACACAAAGAATTCTTACTTTTTAAATAAGAAAACAATGAACACTTTCACTTCTATCCTTTAACGTCTTGGTATTTGTGTCATATGTTTTTTAGGCAATTAAGGATTTGAAAAAAGAGAACTTCCCTACTTAAATTGTCACAACGCATTTGCTAGATTGAGAGAGAAATAGAGAGAGGAATAGGGGTCCCAAATAAGCTTGGGATCTCAAGACCTAGTTCCCATTCACCTTGGTGGGAGAACTCTGCCGGGCTCTTGCCGGAGTGTGGAGTGCGTTGACTCCAAGGGGAGGTGGATGTTCCAGGCAGCCAGGATGGAACTTGTCAAGGTGACTTGTTCTATGCGAGCTCAGAGAATTCTTTAGTGACTGCAGGTAAACAGTCACTTCAATTTTTCTTTCCACAAGAGACATAACTGTTGAAAATATATTTCTAAACAAACCAGGGCTTGTTTTCTTTAAGTGAAGGCACACTGTTCTGATTCTTTTGAAAACACTCAAACACCAGAGAAATTTAAGAATGTCTATCTGTGGTGCTCGTTTCTTTCTTACCTCCTCGGAGACAGGAAAGAAGGTGTTAAGAATATACTTTCTTTCTGTATTGCTAGAGACAACAACACCGCAAGAACAGCAATGTCTGTCAGACCTCAATGAGAGTGAAGACAATTATTCTGGTTCTAGCAGTCCTCTTTGGTCTTCTATGTTCAGGTTAGTGAACAGACTCCATTATTCCTCTTATATATAGGGATTAATGGTTGAAAAATTGAGCTGATATCTTTTTAGACACTAGTGTTAGTTCATCAAAGCTCTTTCAAAAAGGGGATTGGATTTATCTGGTATTTTACCTCTTACAAATTAAAGTTACAGAAACTATTGCTATGAATTCCAAAACCAGCTTGGATAAAATTTCATGCACTTGCTTCTACTCCTAAGTTGCAACTGTGAATCTGTTCCATTGAAAATGTGCCACTGTAAGCACATGGTAGTAGAAACATGTAATGGACTCCATGCTATAAATAATATATACATAAAAGGCTGCGTTTAACACATTGTTGTGAGTTCCAGTCACATTAGCAGTATGTTGTAAGTAGGGATAGAGACAAGCTTCCAGAATTGGGATAGTATCCAACTATTTGTTTCATAGTCCATTATTTTAAGATTCTGCAATGCCTATAATTTTGTCTCTTGCCACTTCTGTTAGTACAGGGTCCGTATTTCAGTTTTCTTAGAATGGCTTTGATTTGTGATATTTTGCTTGTTGTCAAACCATGTGTGAGATAATGTAAGTTAATATTTTGTTTTAAGAATGTTTACTATTCCCTTCCATGTAGACAATCTGTTTCCTACAAAAGAACTCTGGGACTTTTGTGACCTTAAGAGTTATTAAGAAGAAGTTGTAAATTATGACAAATTTTTAATTGAGAATGTGAAAATTCATCTCACTGTTGCTAATGGGAAGTAACCAGATAGTCTCATTTCTTTCAACATAAATGGATCTAGTATCTGAAAATACATAAAAATATTTTAGTAAAGTAAGAAAAGTTCTTAACACTATTACTATAATGTTCCCTTTTGGGGACTAGAATAACAGTGATCCATCTTCTCTTTTTCTTTGCTTATACAGTTTAAAAATATAATTCGAGGTGTGTTTCTAATTACTGCTAATAGTGCAATATACCAAGCCAAACATTTGCTACTGGCTGTCAAGTGTGTTTTTGATGAAACTGGAAAGGGAGAGAAAGAGACAAACAGAATGTAAAAGAGAGACAGAGAGAGGAGAAAGGAGAAAGAAAGAGCAGTGTGCCTTGAGCAAGACTTTCTGCAGCTGTTGCGTACATTAATCCAGAGTGCAGATCTCCCAACTCTAAATATAGCAAGCATATCCATTTACATGACAAAAAAACTTTTAAATGAAAGTCTTTAACTATGGAGTCATATTATTTTAGATTTGATTTATTGTAAAATGGAAATAAGCACTGCATACATGTTCTCTGTATAAACAACATTAGTTTAAGAAATCAGTGTGTAGAAAAGTCACAATGATATACACAGTGTATCACAACTTCCTCTGTTGGGACATTTTTCTTTGAGACTCAAATAGGTTATGATGTCTGTGTCTCATCAATTGTCTCCAAAATCTTTACATGCAGAAAGCTTTCTTATTTTTTTGCTTGATTTTGTGTCAATCATACATAACTAGAAAGTTATCCTAGGTTTCACTCTAACAGAATTAGCTCTCTGAAATACCCCTTTTCTCATTGTCAATGCCCTGTTATCAAAGTACACTTGTACACTTAAATCTGGATATTACCTTTCTTTTTTTAGCTGACCCAGATGAGGATGTTCAAGCCAGGCACTCCACAGCGATGATAATTATTCCAAAGAGAGCTTGCAGGCGAAGAACCGTAGAAAAGGAAAATTCTTCACACCCTTGGAAATAGAGTGCAGCCGTCCATAGAGATTGAGGAGTTAACCTTAGTTTCAGTGAAGATGGCTGTAAGAAGCTGGACAACCTGTCACCACCAGAGCCCGAGCATTTGTCAGCTTGCAGGTCCCAAGTTATTTTGAGCTGTATAACCCATGTGCCCGAGAAACATTCCACCTGATTGGACAGGAGAAAAACTGAGCAGAGGGATTCCAAAGCAGGATAGCACCTATGGGGGCTGGGTGGTCCATCGGTTTTCCTACCTATAGAATTTCACTTACAGCTACAGCCCCCTGTTGATTGCCAATTTATGCTTGAAATTAGTACTGAATTATTAAACCACGTTCCACCTGTCAAAGAAAATGGCATTATCTGGCAAACGTATCAGAATTCTTAATTTGAAGATTCTTAATTTTAATCAATGAAAAAAAATTATTTTAATTACTAAGACACTTAAGGAAATCTCATATTGAAAAACCATTATGAAGCTAAGGTCTAATGTTTGAAAACAGAGGACTTGTTTGAGTTGATTATCCACAGTCTAAGCAAACACAGAAAAGATTGAAAAAGGGCTAATTGGAGATGATAGAGAAAATGAAGAGAAAAAAAAATCCACTTGAGAATAAACCCAGAAACAAATAAATCTGAACAAATCTCTTCGGAAAAAAAGCAAAGCCATTTGCTACTGAAAAGTCCAAAGCACTGTATGATATATATGATGTATGATGTATTAGTACCTAGGGATAACGTTTTTGTATATTATTTTGAAAAAGCTGAAGCCAGATGTCTTCTTTCATAAGCATTGTCAATCAGTAAGAGAAAAAAGTTATTAAAAATGCCAACATTTGCTCAAGCACCTATTTCATTAAGACATAGTTTCCTTGATATTAATTTATTACATGTAATACATTTTCAAAATATGTATTTTGAAGAAAAGTTAGCCCCATGGCTTAATACAGGTTAAGTGATGCTATAACATCAGCAATTGTGGTGGAAGTCTTGGTTTTGAAAACTTAGACTTTACATGCCAGGAATTGGTTATTTATGTTTTGAAAAGATTTTTTTTAATTGAAAAGGCAGAGTTATAGAGAGAAGGAGAAACAGAACAAGAGGTCCTCCGTTTGCTGGTTCACGCTCTGAAAGGCCACAATGACTGAAGCTGAAAGCTTCTTTCGGGTCTCCCAGATGACTACGGGGCAACTTTGGTCATCTTCTGTTGCTTTCTTACATCATTAGCAGGGAGATAGATTAGAAGTGGAACTGCCGGGATTCTAACCAGCACTCACACGGGGGTGCTGACACTTTAAGTGGAGGCTTAATGTGCTATACCATAGTGCCAATCCTATGTTGTTTTTAAAAATCATTCTTAGATTTTGATGTCATGAAATACACTGCTTTAAATCTAACCTTCTTGATTGGAGCATATACCTTTTTACAGGGTTTCATTCAACAAATATTTACTTAACAGCTTCTATGTGTCAGGTACTAGAAAGAAAATAGTACCCAAAACACACAAAAGTTTCTGACCAACTTTATTGAGAGATCTTTATTTTCTCCACTCATCTTAACTTTGTAATACATTGAATAGATACGAGATTTATTTATAGTGATTGCTTCAAGAGTTTTACTATACCTTTTTTTGTGGGCTTTTACAAAGGCAGCAAAATGAAAAACTTTATCGATGTTGCGGGGCAGCAAGTTGAGCTGCTGCTTGAGATGCTGCTATCCCAGAAGAGCATCTGGTTGTTCTATTTCCTATGCAGCTCCCAGATGATGTAACTAGGAAAGCAGCAGAGATGGCCCAAGAGTTTAGGCCCTGGCATCCACATGGGAAACCCAGATGGAGTTCCTAATTCCTGGCCTTGGTTTGGCCCAGCCCTTGCTTTTGCAGCCATTTGGGATGAACCAGTTAATGGAAAACAGCCTCTCTCTTTCTCTTTCTCTCTCCTCCTCCCTCTCTCTCAAAACTGCCTTTCAAGAAATAAATAAATGCAACATTAGAAAAAAGAAAACTGAGAAACACTTTATATTAATTCAGGTCAAGGGAAGCTAGAATTATGACATAGTGGCTTAAACTACCTGTTGCAAAACTGGAGGGCACAAGTTCAATTCCTGGATGCTCCACTTCTAGTCCAGTTCCCTGCTGATGTGCCTGGGAAACCAAAGGAAGATGGCTTCAGTCCTTGGGTTTCTGTACTCACATGTGTGACCTGGAAGAAGCTCGGGATCCTTTTAGCGTGGCTCATCCCTAGATATGGTAGCCATTTGGAAAGTAAACCAGAAGATGTATTTTTACTTTTCTGCCATGATAAACCTGGTATACTACCTCTCATTTACATATAGAATAATGAGGCCGTCAGAGACTCGTATTAAAATTTGGAATTGAGTTGATTGGACAGTATAAATAGGAATTTAGGTGAAGAATGCTAAACAAGGGGGCCAGCCTTGTGCCAAAACAGGCTAAGCAATGCAGGCACCTGCAATGCAAGCATCTCTTATAAACAATGGTTCCATTTTGTTGCTTCACTTCTCATCCAGCTCCCTGTTAATGCGTTGGGAAGGCAGCAGGTGATGGTCCAAATGCCTGGGCCCTTTTCACAAATTTGGAAGACCAGGATGGATCTCCAGGCTCCTGACTTCATGCTTGCCTAGCCCCTACTATTATGGCCATTTGGGGAGTGAACTAGCAAATGGAAGATCCACCTCCCCGCTCACTTGCTCTCTCTGTCCGTGTGGGTGTGTCTGTAACCATGTCATTCAAATAAACAAAAGCCAAATTTTAAAATTATTAAATAAATAATCACAGAAGTTACAGGACAAATAAGTGGAAGAAATTCTGAACAAAACAACAGTTATCTCTTTATTCTACTGTACAGTTTCAAGCATAATGTATAAACTTTTTTAGTTCCTTAAAAAAAACTAAATATAAATACTTAAATATATAATATTCAGTGACTGTGAGCACCTTGATTACAATACACCAACTTCATTAAACTCTAGGTCTTAGTTTTTTAAAATTGGTTTCCATGCAAGTTAGTCCTTACTTATAATAATTGCATAAACGTTGTGCCATAAACCTAGTAGTTCATATTTTATGAGTTTATTGGTATAAAAACAGTCTAAAATTTTTTAATACCCAGAGCAATTAAAAAAATTTATAAATGAAAAGCAAATACAAAGTTCCTATCTTAAATCTTTCCTATACAGTGGAGGGGCCTATTCAACACATGTATTTATTGTGCTTGAATATGACCCTGTGCTTGCCTTCAGCTGTTTTCTTAATTCAGTCACTCAGCTACAGAAAACAACTTACTCACATTGAGTTGATCCACAAGAATGTCAAGAAATTTGGAAGATCTATCACATAGCAAGTCTTCACTTGGAAGATAACCAGGAGAGAATTTTTGTGCTAGTAAATTCACACAGAATTTTTGTGTTGACTATTTTTTTTCACATTGCTATAGGCTTTAATATTAAAACATATACAAAGTTTCAATAAATTTTGCTTAAAGTTCATAAATGTACATGAGTGTCTCTCTCACCGGCATCAAGCAGAAAAATAAGACAAAGTCTGAAGAATAAAGACATGTATATGTTTTTCAACTTTTTAAAATGTACAATATTTCACATCCTGCAAAGTGAATTTGTAATTACCTGTCTCCGGAGAAGCACCATTCCTGTATCAATCAACCAGGATCATCTAATGTCCAAATCTCACTGCCTCATTTATGTCAGCCACAAAAGTAGCATGAAGGAAATGTGACACTGCCCCACCAGAGCAATGAAGGGTATTTACAGGGTTCCGTTGCAGATCCAGGGACGGTCGTTTAGAACAGATTGCTCTTTCAGATCAACTCTAACAGCCTAGTCTGTATGGTGCTCTTAGCCTGGAGGGATGCTATGAGTGAATAATGACTAAAGAAAAAGGTTTACTACATCTCATGACTGGATGACCATGATAATGAAGAAATTCTAAAAAATAGTATAAAAATACACAGAAAAATTTTCCACAAATTGCATTTAAAGTGAAAATATATTTGATACAAAACTATGTTCAATGCATTTGTTAAAGCATATATGAAAAAAATCATCAGTTCTTGTAATAATTCCCATTTGACCTGCTAATTTTAGTCTAATTCAAGCTTTGCTGAGTGTTTTCTGTCAGAACACAAAAGGGCTCTTTTTTCTTATGTTTTTGTTACATACAATAATCAAAGTTTGTACTTTTTAAGAAGTTTTCATTTCCAAGAAAATATCTGTAAAAGAACTTCTAAAAAGAGCATCTTATGATTAACTTTAAGTTCCTGGTGAATCCAGAGCAGTTGGTATCATGTTTGTACCACTGCAAGCTAATTTCTACTTCTTGCCATATTCATGTGCTGATTTCTTTAACACACATATAAATATGTCATCTTAGTACAAAAAAGGCAACATTCATTAGCTAGATTGGAAGTTGTTTATGTATGGTGTGCTTCATTGAATATACCCAATCAATAATGAGTGAAATATATACTGATATAATTTTTGTTTTATAGATGAGTATCTTGGGCATATAAAGAGGTTAAAAAATTGTTCAGGGTAACATAACAAGTAAATGAGCTAGAATTGAAATTAAACATTAAGAATATTTACTCACAACTTGAAGATAACAATGAATATTGTGATTGCTCTTTCTTTCACTAAGTATTCTAACCACATTGTGTAGGACTTTATATGTTTATGCTTTTCCTGACCAAAAACAACCCACAAATTATTTTGGATGACAAATCAAAGAAGAGCAGAAGGTTCAGAAAGCAATACACATCTATTTTCAAATATATTTTATCTGACATTTTAGCTGAACATATGAATTATTGTGTGGATTGGAGCATTGGATATTAACACTACAAAGCAGGGCATCAGCAGGCAGTGCAATGCTTTGACAAACCTATTTTGTTGTGTTTTGTTTTTAGTTATTATGTCCATGGTACTGAAGCAATGTGAGAACTTTGTTCTTCTGAAGCTAAGTTTAAATTCTGTGGCATTATTTGCTTTTTAAAACTTTTTTTGCAAGTTGAGAGATTTTGAAAATAACTGTTCGAATATTTTCTCTTTGTAACATTAGCATGGAGTGTGCCAGTATGCCAGGCTCTGGGTGATTCCACTCAGATTCTATTTTTGGGTTGCACAGACATTTCAGAAAGCTGAAAACAAAGTTCAGCGTTCTTACTCATGACCCAAATAATCACACAACATGAACAATGTGAGGGAAAGGACACAGAAGCAACATTTCTTGCAAGTATATTGCAGGTCAAGAGGTAGCCTCAGTTACTCTCATTTGATTTTCATGTTAATCCTGTGGAGCATGATCATCTGAATGTTCCTAGGAGGAGACTAAGGTTTAAAACATTGTGGTGCAGTAGTTTAAGCTATTGCTAGGGTCTCCTACATCTCCTACTGGAGTGTGTCTGGCATAGTCTTGCCTCTGCTTCTGCTCTGACTGCCTACTGATACATCTGGGAGGCAGCGGGTGCTGCCCTAACTACCCAAGTTCCTACCGCCCACATGGGAGACCTATATGGAATTCTTGGCTCCTGTCTTCGGCTGGCTCAACCATGGACTTTTGGGGGAATGAACCAGCAGGTAGATTATCTTTCTCTGTCTCTCTGCTTTTTAAAATAAATAGATAAATAAATCTTTAAAAAAAGAAGTGTGGAGGAGGGACTGTGAAGTTTTTTGAAGTTATGCAGTTAGTTGCACAGCTGGTAGTCTTTTAGCTTCATTCCTACCTTCTTTCCATTGGCTTTTGTGCCCTCAAGAATAATGATGTAGGTTAGCACTAAAATCAGAAGTCACACAGAGCAGGAAATTCATCATGATTTTCACATATATTGATAGGTAAAAGCATTGTTAGAGCTATTGCTTTCCTTTTTTTTTTTTTTTTTTTTTTGGTGTAACAAAACAAGAAATGAAAGAGAACATTCAACCCACTCTAGGGATTTTTTTTCACAAAGAAGACTCAATAAACAAAGTTGACTGTTAAGGGCTAATGAACATTTCTGAGAACATTTCTGAGAGAGTGAGGTTTGCTCCACAAATGCCTGGAACAGTTGTGGCTGGGACAGTCCAAAGTCAGGAACTAGAACTCTGGGTCTCCCATGTAGGTGGCAGGATTCCAAGTACTTGGCCATGCTGCATCCTAGAGTAACAGTAGCAGGAAGTTGGAATGGGAAATGGAAGCAGAACTCAAACCCACACTCTCTGATAGAAGACACAGGCATCCCATGCAGCATCCTTTTTTAAAAAGATTTATTTATTTTTATTACAAACTCAGATATACAGAGAGGAGGAGAGACAGAGAGGAAGACCTTCCGTCCAATGGTTCACTTCCCAAGTGAGCGCAACGGCTAGAGCTGAGCCAATCTGAAATCAGGAGCCAGGAGCTCCTCCAGGTCTCCCACACGTGTGCAGGGTCCCAAGGCTTTGGGCCATCCTCGACTGCTTTCCCAGGCCACAGGCAGGGAGCTGGATGGGAAGCAGGGCCGCCCTGATTAGAACCGGCGCCCATATGGGATCCTGGTGCGTGCAAGGCGAGGACCTTAACCACTACACTATCATGCTGGGCCCTGCAGCATCCATTTTTTAAAAATTATTTGTTTCCACTTTATTTGAAAGGCAGAGAGATAGAGAAAGATCTTCTATCTGCTATTATACACCCCAACACCTACTTCAATCAGGGATGAGTAGGCCAAAGCCAGGACCCCAAAATTCAAGCCAGGTCTCCCACGTAAGTGTCAGAGACCCAAGTACCTTATCCTCTGCTGTGTCCCAGAGTGTGCACTGGCAAAAGGAAGAATGGAAGTGGAGAAGCTAGGACTTGAACCGGGCACTCCGTTATTGGAATCAAGCATCCAAAAATAGCATATAAAGTGCTGTGTCAAATGCCCAGGCCAGAAGTTATCTCATTACTTATAATTTATTACAAAATTAATAAATACTAAATGTGCTAGACTTGTTTTTAAAGGAAGAAGAATACAAAGGAAGAGCTAACTAAAACCATGGAAAATCTGAAGGGCAATTGTTTTTATATGTCTTATCCATATTCACACTTTCATTTGCTTATGGATATATTTGATTTATTTTATTGATTATATAAACTTCCTAGCAAATAAATAAAGCATACTTTAGGAAGAGCTGCAAAATATTTCTGTTTTGCTTTTTTGTCCATTCTGTTCATCTCCAAGTTGCTCTTCAATCCAAACGGAGAATGGATTAGTTTAAAACCTAGTCTAAACAAAGCCTTCTGGTTAAAGGTAGTTATTATGCATGTTAATATCTCAGGGTTCCTTTCCTTTAATCTCCTGCCTCGATGGTAGCCTGTAATTCAAAATGTCGGTGGGAATAAGTGAGCATACAATGTCACAAAGTTAAAAACAAAAATTCAACACATTGGGCCTGGTGCAGTAGCCTAGTGGCTAAAGTCCTCACCTTGTATGAGCAGGATCCCATATGGGCATTCATGTTCCTGCAGCCCCACTTCCCATCCAGCTCCCTGCTTGTGGCCCGGAAAAGCAGTCAAGGACGGCCCAAAGCCTTGGGACCCTGCAGCAGTGTGGGAGACCCAGAAGAAGCTCTTGGCTCCTGGTTCTGGCTCAGCTCCAGCTGTTGAGGTCACTTGGGCTATGAACCAGCAGATGGAAGATTGTTCTCTCTCTCTCCTTCTCTTTGTAAATCTGACTTTCCATGAAAACAATAAGATCTTTTAAAAAAAATTTCAACACAGTTTGAACAGAGTAAGGGGTATAAATCTATTTGTAAATAATCCACTGCTCTCACAATGTGCAGATTTCAAAGCAGTATAGCAAGAAAAGTCTTGATATAATCACCACTCTGACCCTCCTGAGACTGCAAAACATAGACAGTCTTTCTAGTGTCACCCACCATGCTTCTGCACACATTAGCATTTCTAACCAAAAAGTTCCACCAAAATAATTTTTGTCTTACCTCTCTCTCATAGCTTTGTTCACTGTTTCTTCCACTAATTCTATAATTAAACTGCTGGCAGTATGTTTTGTATTGTGGAACTAGGCTAATTTTTCACTTAGCTATTTATGCTTTGTCAACTCAACTAGATCAACTCCTTCAGAATTAGAGCCATTAAAAATTTTTGTTAGAGGCCATACAATTGCAATTGTAAGCCTGGGCACAAAGAAGCCCACATAATAACATCTGTGTGACATGCCATAGCAATGATACATACGAATTTTTTTAAAATGATGTGTATGTCGTTAAGTAATCCTAAATTATTCATTCAATTCAACATGTATTTACCGAACACTTATTGTGTGCTAGGAAAGATCAAATGGCCTAAACTCTCAGTAACTTTACTGATTTGTCAGTATGAAAAATTACATTGAGGAAGGAAGCTAAAAAATGATTGAATGCCCACAGTGTAGCAGTCACAAATTGCAGCGATTTTGGGTTAATGGATGCTTAGAATTCCTCTCTTTCTCTTTTTCTCTCTCTTTCTTTCTTTCTTTCTTTCTTTCTTTCTTTCTTTCTTTCTTTCTTTCTTTCTTTCTTTCTTTCTTTCTTTCTTTCTTTCTTTCTTTCTTTCTTTCTTTCTTTCTTTCTTTCTTTCTTTCTTTCTTTCTTTCTTTCTTTCTTTCTTTCTTTCTTTCTTTCTTTCTTCTTTCTTTCTTTCTTTCTTTCTTTCTTTCTTTCTTTCTTTCTTTCTTTCTTTCTTTCTTTCTTTCTTTTCTTTCTTTCTTTCTTTCTTTCTTTCTTCTTTCTTTCTTTCTTTCTTTCTTTCTTTCTTTCTCTTTCTTTCTTTCTTTCTTTCTTTCTTTCTT